TAAATCTTTCCTTTATGTTCAGGAGAATAACAACTAAGCTAATTGGGACATGATCTTTTTGTGTCATTGCTGTGTGGCCATAACCATGAGCATGACAAATTCCATTACTTATTATGTAATTAAACATAGAACTAACTACAGGAAACTAAAATAAAAACGAACAATATTGTGATTTAGCATATCCATTTATTTTGTTGCCACTCAACTTCTAAAATGAGAAATTGTTGAAATATTCAGAAAAATAGAAATATCCTGACATAAAAATCTGTAGTGATAGTACAGATTGTGACTTTAAAAACAGGGCTACTATTTCAGATAAATAATATATATTCCATTTTCTCCTTTCTCTTTTAATTTTATTGTAGTACTAAAAGCTTATTTCTATTGTTTTTGATGAAATGAAATTACATGATATTTCTTATATATGGCTTTTAAAAGTCTCTTAAGCACCAATAGATTCTCAAATCTGCTGCAATTACTGCTGGTTCGAATCTCTCCAAGGCTCAAGGTTGACTCAGCCTTCCATCCTTTCTAAGGTAGGTGAAATGAGGATCCAGTTTGTGGGGGCAATAAGCTGACTTTGTATAAATATACAAAAGTATGAAGGCTATTGCTTAACGCATTGTAAGCCGCCCTGAGTCTCCAGAGAAGGGCGGCATATAAATCAAAATTTAAAAATAAAAATAAATAAATAAATACATTATAGCAATAGCAATGATTAAAATAATAAATTTGAAGTCTGACTCAATTGAGGACGTTTATATTAATTCCAAATAGTATGACTTGCAAAAAACATTGTTACCACTAGAGGAAGCTCGTGTATGAACAGAATGTCTTACTACCGTTCATTTAAATCAACTTCTTCAATTATTATTATGTACATTTCTGTTACTCAATTTGCAAACAATGTGGATCTTCTCAATAAGTAAAACAATTGCAATGGCCCCAACAAACGATGCTTTTTGAACACCATAATATATTGCTTTGGTAAATTCTTATGAAATTCTTAAATTGTACTATAATACAGGTGAATGAAGGGAAATATACTTGTCAGGATTAGTACAGGTAGCCTTTGACTTGTAACCACAATTGAAAAATGAAACTTGGTAAGTGACGTAGTGATTGAGTTGTATCTGATATTGCAATCTTTTTTACTGTAGTTGTTCAACAAATCATGTGGTTGTTAAGTCAGATTCCCCTATTGCATTTGCTTGTCAAAAGCCCCCTTGGAAGGAGATGTGATAAATGGAGATCATATGACTAGGACGCTGCTGCTATTGAAAATACATGTGGGTTGCCAAGTGCCATTTTTTAAATCAAATTTTTTATCATGTGACAACAGGAATACTCAATGGTTTAGATCAGGAGTCCTAACCTCCACTGTGGACAGCATTCCAGAAACCGGGCTGTACAAACAAGCAAAGCCCCATCCACGGGATGCAGGCAGTATGCGAAAGCACAACCCCTCTGATCTTTCTCCATGGAACTGGTCCATGGTGCCCAAAAGTTTGGGGATCACTGGTTTAGATGCATAAACTAATTTGACAAAGAAATATATGACTTCAGAAATCAAATATATTTCTAATGTTTAATTTCTGATATTAAGTAAATCAAATGAACAGTAAAAAGCAAATTAAGAAATATATGGGTTCATAATTGCGTATGATTCTGCTTTGGATTTCAGCACTATCATATAATAAACTCATAGTTCATGTTATAGCATGATACTCCAGTGCAAACCAGGGGTGAAATCCAGCAGATTCTGACAGGTTCTGGAGAACCGGTAGCGGAAATTTTGAGTAGTTCGGAAAACCAGCAAATACCACCTCTGGCTGGCCCCAGAGTGGGGTGGGAATGGAGATTTTGCAATATCCTTCCCCCAGGAATGGGGAGGGAATGGGGATTTTGCAGTATCCTGCCCCTGGAGTGGGGTGGGAATGGAGATTTTGCAATATCCTTCCCCTGCCATACCCACAGAACCTGTAATAAAAAAATTTGGATTTCACCACTGGTGCAAACCCAGACATTGCAGTTGATTCAGCAAGCCGTAATTTAGCTATAGATGCGGTAACATGAATTGATAACGAAATTATGCATTCAAAGGTACTGGGAACTACCAATGTTATTTCCAGTGATTATTCTGTTATTCACACTATGTTATAAAAGCTCTAATTGTTATTCTAAGCCGTCTAGGTGAATACGGTACTTGATGAGTATAATTGTTTTGTTTATTTCTTTCATATACCAGATGTTTAATTTTTAATGATAACTAGAATTAGTCTATGGAAAGAAATACTAAAATATCTTTAAAATGCATTTCTATAGCTGCTAGAGCTAAATGCAAATATCTTTATTTAACTAAACATATTTTTTTTCAATTAAGTCAAGCTTTAAAATCCAAAATGGATTTCTTGATCAAGAATGATGATTCCAAATGAATATAGTAGGTAGTTGTTAATTGTATGTAAATCCATTGACATGTTGATTAAAGAAAGAAACACTATCCAATTTGACCTTAGATAGATAAGCAAATTGCTTGTTTTATTTTATTTCTTGTATGATTGATCCATTTTGACAGGCCTCATCACATAGTTTACAGAACAGAAAATGCATATAACTAGGTGCTATAACAATTTACAATCTATCTAAAAGGTGGATTGCACACAATTGTTGTACTTCAATATTTAGAGAGCTGATCCCTGACTCTACAATATCGAGGATTCTAATTCAGGGTTATATATTTTTCATCCTTGCATTATATAATGATTTATGAGTCGTAGTGGCGCAGTGGTTAGAATGCAGTACTATAAGCTACTTCTGCTGACTGTTGGCTGCAATTTGGCAGTTCAATTCTCATCGGCTCAAGGTTGACTCAGCCCTCCATCCTTCCGAGGTGGGTAAAATGAGGACTTAAGATTGTTGGGGGGGAAGATACTGACTCTGTAAACTGCCTAGAGGGGGCTGTAAAGCACTTGTGAAGTGGTATATAAGTCTAAGTGCTATTGCTATTTATATTACGTTGCGATATTGGATTGCCTAAGATAAGAAAGATCCCTCAAAACCACTTCATATACAGTAGCCATTTAACCTGAGATTGAATTTTAACTCAAAAATTGGATAGTTAGGTTGTTTATGTAACACAAATTAGACTACAGGGTATGCTTAGTACTGTCCTCCAATTCTACTTCCAATAGTAGAATTTCCTGCCTAATGCAGGTACATTTCTCTCTCTAATCAGCCCTAGGTGTGCTGAGGTTCGTCTGTTGATCAGACAGTGGCAGAACCACCCATGTTTATGCCTGCCAGAGCCATCAAAATTGATTCTATGGCTCTGGACAAGTCACTCTCTCACAACTAGGATGACTAGATATATGGACAGGCAAAAGAGTGCAGAGATAACACACTGTGAACTTTCTTGACAAAATTACAGCAAAAAACTGCAAAAAAACCCCAAAACCCTTAGGTCTAAATGTACTGTATATGACATTGCTTTTCCAGTATCAGGAAGACTGGGTTTTCATATCATTTTTCCAACAAATCTATATTTTTATTTCACCATTGAAACATGAATATATTATATATGATGACTCAGATGATCTACAAACTACAGTGATCCTACATTTGAGGGGGTTGGATTGAAGCCCATGAAATTAGGAAATAAACTATGTAAAGCTAGGCAATAGTCTCTTTCCTGAAGAGGAAAAGAAAGCAGACAATTTACACTGTTACAATTCACAAAAGTTTGAATAAATGCTGTTGTTAAGACAGCCCTATTTAAAAAAAAAAAAAACATAAAAAGCTGGATAATATCTGATTTAAGGCTAAGCCTCCTAAATGGACATGAGGACAAAAGGAGGATATATCCTTCTCAGTGAATATCTAGTAACCCTATTCTCAGCTCAACTTCCATTTGGAAAGTTGGTGAAGAGAGAAACAGTCTGTAGGGTGTCTTACCTTGAGCTCTGAAAGGAAAGATATAGGTACAAATAACGATAAGGCTTCCTAGACCTACTTCTTCCTGGCAGAGAAATTAGTTGTGGTTGATTGTGTTGACCTTGTATCTCTCTGTGTACGCACCTACATGTCTGAACGTGCCTATAATTGGGCAGGATTCTTGACTACAAATTATATGCAAGAATAAATATGATTAATGCTTCGAGGCTTTTTTCTTTTAAATAACCTGAATCTATTACAGTACCTAAATTGGCTGAAAAACGAGAAAGAAAAGGATAAAAAGAAAGAAATAGAACAAAATATCTAAACAGGAATTGGTTGAGAGACCACCAGGAGATCTCATGACTGCATGCTAGATTAGAAATTTTTTTTTGAAATCGTAGAAGAAAAATACCTAGGAATCCTTGTGGGGCAGAAGCGAAAGGGTCTTTATTTTTTCTATGTATACAGCCTTGCAATACGGGCTTGCAATTATGGCTATACAGCAGAAAACTGTATAGCGGTAACCGCATTAGGTAGGTATATCTTTTACTCTCGCGGCAGGTTTTCCGCGCGGATAATCGTAAAGCGGATATATCTTTGGGGTTCCTCAGACCTCTCTGTACATTTGATGGATTTCCGCTGCTACGCCCTCATTGCAGATTTTCCAAAACAATGACTCGGGCAATAAGCAGATCCATTCTCTACGAACCCTGGGCGCGAGGAGAACCAGCAACCGCTGTTAGAATACTCCCTTCGTGCCGGAGACAACTGCGTAGCGCTAGCCCCGCCCACAGCCCATCCGAAGACCCCCGATCTACTTCGTTTTCTGCTTACCTGACAGGCGCTTCCGTTGCGGGAGAAGTCGCGAGCTGGTCCTCAGAAGCGCATCCTTGTTTAAGGCCCGCCCTTTCGCCCTCCGGATTGGCTGGCGAGGCCGGTGCTCTGCGGTCTCTGTTATTGCTGCTGCTGCTGCTGCAAGGAATTTTGTGGTCCTCCTTTGACTGCCTTCGGCGGCTGGGAGCTCATCCTTAAAGGAGGACAGAGGTGAGGGGGCGGCTGAGCGACCGCCGCGGAACTCGGTGACTCGCTGCGTAAAAAGAAAGTTATCCGTCTCCTCGCGAAGTGGCATCTGGGGCTGAAAAGAAGAGGTGGCGGCCGAGTAAGCCCCCTTGCTCCCGCCCTCTCCTCTGGAACAAAGGCGCCGACAATTCTGCTTTGCCCTCGCCGGAGAGATGGCGTCGTTCAACTTCGGGGGGCTCAACGCCGCTTCTCGGAGGAAGAGCATTTATGCCCGCAACGCAACCGTTGAGAGACGAAATCTCATTACCGTCTGCAGGTAAATTGGGCTCACATACACACACACACTAATTGTGTGTGCATATATATTATATATATATACATATACACACGCACACCTGCATATTCATTAATGTGTGTGTGCTGGTAGGTAGGTAGGTAGGTAGGTAGGTAGGTAGGTAGGTAGGTAGGTAGGTAGATAGATAAAGATAGATATATACAGATATATACATTCCTCTTTTTGTCCTTTTAGCTGTAAATAAAATGGATAGATATATATTCCCTGAAGTTTGCCTCTGGTGGAAAAAGGTATGCAGGGCTGAACATAATTCATACTGTTGGAAGAAATGTCCATCTGGGTTCAGTTCCAAGTAGGGAGAAAGACGCTGGAAACATGGAGACTGTTTGGAAAGATGGTTTAATGGTAGACAGGACCACGTGGGTTTTTTGGGTCCAGGGCAGGTATTCTGATTGGTTGTCAGACTCCCATGGGGCTATGTAGGGGTAACTTTGTAGGTCCGTGATGCCGGAGTCCCGGAAACTCGAAGACCAGCTGGTCTTCAGGTTTCCAGCACTCCAGTACTTGCGAAGACCAGGTGGCTGGCGCGCATGCGCATGCCGGAAATCAGAAGAGCAGCTGGCAGTAGTGCGCATCCCCACAGAAAGGACCCTTTGTACCACCTCTGGCATGCATGCATGTTCACCAGCCAGCTGGTCTTTGAGTTTCTGGGGTTCCGGTTTGGGCACTTGATGCCGAAAAGGTTCGCCATCACTGTTCTAGGTTGTCTTGAGTCCCAGGCTCAAGGCTGAATCTTGCTGGATGATGATGAATGTTTTTCCTTTAGGGAAAATATAATAATATAATATAATATTAAAAATATTTTTAATATTTCCTAGAATTTTCATTCTTTCAGGAGATGGGTGGGTGCTAACTTCCTACAATACGTATGTGTTAGTGCTGATGTGTGTGTTTGTGTACACACAGACACACATACCAACACTTAACATTATATATAAAAAAGGTAAAGGTTTCCCCTGTCCAGTCATGTCCGACTCTATCTCTGTTTTTTACCCGGAAGAGCCAGCATTGTCCCAAGACATTTTGTGGTCATGTGGCCAGCATGATTATACACAGGGAATACTGTTATCTTCCCACTGAAATGGTACTTTCATTTACATGCTTTCGAACTGCTAGGTGGGCAGAAGCTGTGGCAAATAACGGGATTTCACCCCATCACACGTCATTCGGGTCTCGAACCTAGGCTGGGAAATTTCCAGCTCACAAGCTCAGGGTGTGTGTGGGTGTACACATACATATTTATATAAATAATAGGTATATGTATATATATATATATTCCCTGAAGTTTGGCTTGTCTTGAAAAAGCTCAGCTGGTTGAATATAATTCATACTTGGATGGGTGACCAGAAAATATGTGGAGAGATTTTTAAAAAATACATCCTGGAAAAAGGTACTAATGCATTTCTCCCAAGAAAAATGCCCGAGCATCCCATTCTGTCCATGTTTTCTCCAGTTTGTGTATCCCAAGTTCTGTTTTCAGTAGGATTTTCTGGTAAAGTGAGTATGCATAATATTACTGCCTCTTGGGACTGGAATGATTATTTTGCAATTTTTTATTTTCTGGTTTTATAGTTACTAATATATTTTCCAGCTTTTGCCTTAGAAGTTATTCACCATCCTGTTATGAAAGCACTGCTGTTGCAAATATTAAAAATGCTAATGGGGTAATGGTAATTTTTGTAAAACTTTTCTATATACTCTTCTAAGGAATTTCTCGTCTTTACCACTGCAGTTTCTTCATTCTGCCTCTGAATTCTTTCCTGTTTATACCTTCTTAAATCTGAAAACAGATAAAATGACAAGTAGTTTTATGTCACTTTTTTGCGTTGGAGTAAGATTTATGCCCAGAATTTCTCATGTTGGTTAACATATATTTTATTTTGTCTTGCTTCTCTTGTGTGTTTTTGTATACTAAAAATGTCATTTCAGAAATATCCCTATAATAAATCATATTTTTTCTATATGTCCTGCTGACCAGAAATAAGTGCTTCATGCCTTACTATGAGTAATTATATCTCAATTAGGTTTTTTTATTTAATAATCTGTAGCGAAGCCCATTTTAGTTTAAATCGAATTAGGATGAGTGATTTAATGGATGTATATATTGTGTTTATGTAGTTTTCTTGGCAACAGTGAGGAGGGGGCCTGCCTTTTGCTTTTTTCTAGTATTCTATTTCGTTCTAATGTAGAACTGTGGGATTCCTTAGTGCTCTCCCATTAGTATTAATGAGGCCTGACAATGCTTAGGTTTCCATATTACTGAAGTGTTGCCATTGCATTGTGCTAGGATGCTAATACCTGAGTAATTCAGAAAAGAGGTTAAGCTTTTGTAGAAGAATATAAAAATAATTATAGTGATGATGAATTCCCTACCTCTTAGCACTATAACCGGATTTCTATGAACCCAGGTTTAATGTGGTAATCTAGTGTGTGATACAAATATAATCAATTTGTAACTGAAAGAGTTGATTGAATAAATAACCATATATAAAGATATTATGCAAATACAGATGATGCGTCCTTAGTTCATTTTCTATATAAAATTAGGCTGACATTTATCTTGTTGTGGAGAGGTAAAAGCCTCCATTTAAAGCAAAACAAAATGGATGGCATGGAGTATTTTCTGTGATGAAGGCAAAAATGAATAGCATAGTTCCAGTGACAATTACATATGTCATGCATGTTACAGCACCTCACTAGGAAGCCTAGCAATACATAGGGCCTTGTTTCATCATCATGCTCTGTTTGTCATAGTGATAGATTTTTTCTTTATCAGCTACTTCCAAGTATCTCATTTCCCAATATTACTATCACTATTCTCTGAGTGATTCCAGACAGAGTCCTTTTAGAACAGTACTATGATTTAAAAGCTATTGCAGATCTATTCCAATTACACCTGTTTAATGGATTTTTTCTAGAGAAACAATAGTATAATTAATGGGAAATATATGACTGGTTAAAAGATAATACTGTCTGGATTGTCTGAAAAATTCCAGGCATGGTGATTGCATAGTAAAGGCCTTATCTGACCACATTTACTTGTAAAATTTTATTTACTCCATTTAGCTGGTTCACTTTAGCATTATGATTATAAAGTGTTGTTGATGTGTACAACTAAAATATGTAGATTAGTATGCAATATGTACTTTAAGCAAGAATAATAAACTTTCTTGCAGTGTTAGGGTAAAAGCTAGGAGAGAAGATTAGGAAAAATACTAAAATATTGAAAAGCAAATGTTTCAATATGCTTCCAAGTTGCTTTAATACTGTACAAAATTTGATATGGTTCACACACCCTGCTAAGACATGTTAACTATGTTTAACCATGGTTTATGGCATATATTAACATGGTCTGAGTTACACAATATGATAATCTACAATTAAATATTGTAAATCATATTAAGACTGAATCGGAAGAAGTGATGCCATTGCAACTTGACAAGTATAATAAAATACCTTAAGTCTCAAATGTGTATGTAACCTTTAGCCATTGAAGTATGTAAATACTATATTTTAGTAATCTCAGTTACCATACTTTTTGCTCCATAAGACGCACTCCTTCCCCCAAAAAAGTGGGTGGAGATGGTGCCGGTCCTTTGGTGAATAGCAGCTAGGCTGTGGCAGCGGGTCCTTTTACAGTGCTGAACCCAGTCTCTTCTGTCTTTGTCTTTGCCTGCCTCTTCTATCTCTTTTCTGTAGTGTAGGAGTCAATAAGCACAGCTGGCAGATGAGAGGACACCTATCTGTGGCCCTCTCAGGCTCCACCTGATATTTTTGTTCTTGTTTTTCTCCTCTAAACCTAGGTGTGTCTTATGGTCTGGTGCGTCTTACGGAGCAAAAAATATAGTAATTGCTACAGTTCTTCTAAATATCATATGGTTGCTTCCATTTTTGTTCCCAAAAGTTTGCTAAGTACTGAAAAAAATAATTATTTTGCCAAAACACATTTATTTTGATAAATTAATCTACTAATAACCTTATTTCTGTCAAATTTGGTAGATATCTGGTAAGGAAGGTTGTACATGGAATTTGTAGAAATAAAATCTATAGTATTCACATACCATTTAAATTAGAGCTACAAAATACTGGTATAATTAATATATCTTCCTTAGTGCTTGAATGCTTCCAATTTATCTTCAAGCTTTAGAAACTTGTTATAAGCGATTCTTGTAGATTATATGCTACTTCCAACAATATATTTCATATTCTTGTCAAGTCCATTTTATGATTTATCATCGTATGATAAAATGAAGCTATTTCTCCTTCTTTTTCCTTCCCCTTAATTATCTTGTGGAAAGTTAAGGAAGGAAGGAAGGAAGGAAAGAAGGAAGGAAGGAAGGAAGGAAGGAAGGAAGGAAGGAAGGAAGGAAGGAAGCATCCTTTTCCTTTTTCCTTTCTCATATTGTTCCTATAAAGTCATCTATTGTGTCACAAGTAAATGCCTTATTCTCCATTATGTAAATAATATATGAACAGTGTGTCAGGGGTTAACTTATTCTTCACTTCTTAATGTATTCATACTTTACCACTCCCATAATTAGCTCCACCCATTGTATATATAAGGAGCTGCATACGTTCATTCTGTGCTTCTATCTGTGAATATTCAGTGAATATAGAATGCCTTATGTAAATAAAGAGAGATATATTTGAACTCTTAATTCTTGAACAATTTATTGAGTCTGATCCTGAAAATATCGCAACAATCTGGTAGCAGAGGATGGTTGAATTGACTCAATAAAAACTTAAACATGTCTAAAAGAGATAGGCCCAACACCAGGGCATACAGCAAAGAAATGGAAGCGGATCAAGAAATAATAGATGAGTCCACAAATGCAATTTCGAGAGAATCTGAAGAATACACCACAGAAGACGAAGAAATAATAAATAAAGATGATGACCAAGAAGAAAACGAAATAGAATACAACGAACTCAGGTCAGAGATACTAAAACTCCGAAAGAGC